TGAACTCGGGTTTTCAGGTTTGTAGGCAAGTGTTGTTACTCCTTGAGCCATCTTACCAATCCTGTGCGTCACTTTAATCTGTCCTTTGCTTCGCGTGGGTTAATGTCTTCCGGCTACATTTGCAAAATGATGTGAGCCTTTGTTTTCAGTTCTTTGGATTAAAAGGCCAAGAATCTAGAAAATACCCAGCCCAGACCTCGATACTGGCAACAAATTCTTTAGGAAATGCAATGCAGAATGAAGCTATAACTCTTACAGACCTGTAAACATAAATAAAATCGAATTGGTCTCTCTCTCTCTCTCACACATACACACACAAATGTTTTCCTAAATATTTAGGTACCCTGCAGAATCAACCGGAAGACTGGATAGTCCAGCTTGATTTGGAACAGAAGAAGCTGGTACATGGCCAAGATGCTGGCACCAAAAAAAGTCTGCCTAGAATACTACTGCCATCCTTGGCATCACTGGGATATACTTGCTACCACACTGCAGGGTTCTGTTGCCTTGGTTAGTTTGCTGGCCTTTGAATGGCCACTCACAGATGGCAAATTCTTCCATGGAACTGTGCCATTGTCCCCCCCCCCCCCCACACACACACCTTTAAAAGAAAGCAATTCTATTTTCTTTCATATTTAGAGTCTAAATTTGCATACACATGTTTATGCATGCACATGCAGTTATGACAGAGGAGGGGTCAATCTGGGGGAAAATGGATCATAAGTAGCGATGAGAAGGTGTGATAGACAGTGGGAGGGGAAACAAATGCGTGTGTGCACAAAGTACGATATGTGTGTTGGGAAGATGCCATAGTGAAACTCACTATTTTGAACTCCAACTACTAAATTAATTTGAGAAATTAAATTATTTTTAAACTATCCATGCCAGAGATGCTGATCTGTGAAGGGGGACATTTGCCCACCTTCGGGGTAAACAAGCGAGCTCTACCCTTTCCCCATGACAGGTAAGAGAGGGGATCGTCAAGATTAATTATTAAAATGAAAATTTCTTATTTTCAGATATTACTCTCACTTCACATTACTCGAAGTGGAAGCAGAATCCTGGTGACTTCCTGTATTAAAAGATTATTTTTGCCTTTTTAATTTCTACTTAACGTTAATATTTTTATTCATTAGTCACTAAATTATAATGTGAAATTTTATAATTATAAGCTGTTATAATTATATGTAATTGATCATTAAGTCATAATTTATAATTGCTACGGTGAAGTTAATGTTTCGTGCTATTTAATCTATGAAGAAAATGCCAAAGAGAGCAACACTTAGGATGCTCCTGCCATCTAGTGGTGAGACACATTAACAAGTGCTTGGTAGAGGATTGACCCATTTGCCCCCATTTACAGTTTTCTCAGCGTTTTCACCCAATCAGCTACATCGCGAAGCATCCCTAGTCCTTGGAAGTGGTCTTCTATTCTCTGCAATCAATTCCAGAACAACTGAAAACCTAACCTTGGAAAGCCAAGGCGTTTTTCTGCATCCGCATCTAAGCATTGTTTCCATTCCTGTGTCCCCTACAGCAAGATCCTTCTCTAAGACACTTTCCTTTTCCACGTGTCCAGAAACATCATGTTTGATGCATGCATATTCTCTTCTCACAATGAATATCTCTGTTCTCTTACATCTATAGTCTCTTCTCACAGCGAATATATCTGCCACAGTCTTAGTTAGGCTTAGTATGTCTGTGATGAAACACCATGACCAAAAGCAAGTTGGGGAGGAAAAGGCTTATTTATTTTACTTGCACGTCTTCACTGATGGAAGTCAGGATGGGATCTCTAGCAGGCCAGGATCCTGGTGGCAGGAGCTGATGAGCAGGCCATGGAGGAGTGCTGCTTGCTGAATTGCTTTTCATGACTTGCTCAACTTGTTTTCTTCTAGAACCCAGGACCAGCAGCCCAGGGATGGCACCACCTACAGTGGACTAGGCCCTCCCCCATCAGTCACTAATTAAGACTATGTCCTCCAGGCTTGCCTACAGCCTGATGTTAGGGAGGCATTTTCTTAATTGAAGTTCCCTCCTCTCAGATAACTCTAGCTTGTGTCAAGTTGACATCAAACCAGTCAGCACAACTACTTATAAACAGCCACATAGTCTGGGACTCACCAACATCATACATTGCTGGTTCAGCCCCCCACTCTCCAAACTGACATGCTTATTTAAAAAAAAACAAACCACAAACGGTAGTCTTTAAGCACCGGAAAAGTCATCAATAAATGAAAATAGACTACATCCCAGCTTCATTCCTTACGATCATCACAGGAGTTGGGACTTGACAAGTCTCATAATTTACAGATAACTAAACAATCAAAAATCATCTTTTACACATCTGAGAATCATCAATTCAGAATATACTTCAAAGATATTCTCCTACTGTAATGTTTATCTCCAAGAATATTTTCAAGAGGAAGTAATGACTATCAAGTAAGGGACCAGGTTAAGTAAATAAAAGTGGGTTCATTGACTGAGCAGTGAGATTAGGCCATCGCGGGCATCAGTGGGGTTTGGTACTCTCTAGAGACACCAGGGTCTGTGGTTTCTGGGCTTGGGTGAAGTGTTGGTTTCTTGATACTTACTATTCAAGAGACTCGGTGAACGTTTCAGTCTGGATCTGAGAGCAGAAGCAAGATTTGGAGTCTTAACTACAAAGATGGGGTTGAGGTTTGGAGACTGAAGTGGGGGCTGGGATTCAGAGGTGATGATAATCAAGAATTTTTAATAGAACCAAGGTCTGATTACAGGAATTCTGCAATTGAAAAAAAGAATGTCTTTGAAGTGTGTAAATTTCAGAAGCTTCCGAGTGGATGGAAATACCAGCAGAGACCTCACTGGGATGGGGTCATGGCCATTTGAACCAGGGTGGAGAGGCTCTCGATCCTTCTCACCTCCTGCCTGACTTAATTCACCCACATCTTGTAATTTTTTAAAAAAAGCTAACTAAAAATTAGAGCGGAAACTTATAGACCTCTGTCAAGAGTAAGTTTCGGATACATTGTGTATAGGCTTCAAACTACTTCCCCATCCAAAGTGGGAATCAAAGGTGGTCTGGGCCTGAGAATAAAGGTTATCCTTCCAGGCTCATGGAAGCCTGGTGTCTAGCCCTAGCTACTCACCAAAGAGCTTGCATTTGTGCATGCGTGCTTATGCCTGTCAAATTAGAGGCCAGGCAGAGATGAATTCTGTCATTGTGCGGCTTCAGACATGAAGCTCCCTGTCTTCCTGTGATAGACATTTTCTGAGAGAGCAGTGAGCACCCAGCAACTCTATTAACAGTAGCAAAGAGTTGTAAGTACTTCACAAATGCAGATGTGAACACTGCATGTCCACAACCAGACCCTAAAAGACGATTGAAGATGGCAAGGTGTTACCGGGTCTCTAAAGACACACAATGGTACTTTCTTTTAGGGCTTCCAGGGGTGGGGTTGACCCCTTTTGAGTCTACAGTAATGTCCACTAACTGTCACCAGCCCCTAGCTCATGTTCATGACATTATCTCGGTTCTGATATGGGAACTGCAATTCCTCTTGTTAGTCTTATCATTTCATTATTGGAGGCTGGTGGAGCCACACTGAACCCAGGACCTCAAACACGCTAGGCATGCGCTCACTGTCCAGGGGAGCTATACCCTTAACTCCCTTAGTCTATTCTGATTGATAATATAAAGTCGATTTCTATGGGAGGCGCTAAGGATAACAGGGAAGTTGTGTTTTTATTCTAATCCACCCTATGGAATACCCCAAAGGAATCGAAACACTAACGGAAAATAAAGTGACTCACTGGGATAGAACATTTCAATGACTCAAAATTCCACAGAAGCCTGGCTAGCATCCTCTATGCACTTTTGAATGCCAGTGAGATGAGATTTTGTCTGTGTATTAATACAGTAGCTGTTTCATGGAGATTGGCAATTTATTTTATATTATAATTAAAATATGTTTATGTGTGTTATATTTTATTTATATATATTACATTTAATTTATATTATAAATAACAAATAACTGTCATTTAACCCAGTCTCAGGAAGATAGTTGAAAAGCCAGTTGCTTCTCATAGCAGTTCCACAAATCAGGGCCAAGCCAGGCTTCATTTGGGATGAATTTCTATACTTCGGTATTCTTATCACAATTATGAAGTAATTGTATTCAATGTGGTTGTGTGGTATAAACAGAATATTCACTAATGTTATCTGGTACCTCTTACACAAACTAATCATGTATAGAATTGGGGCCATCTCGGAAATATATATCTTTTTTCCATTCGCTAACAGTGAACTGTGGGATATTTGTTTGAACAACTAATAGGATCCTTTCCAGTGGTTTTGGTAACCACTTTAAAATCTCCTCTACGCTAAAATTAGAATTGCCACCGTAAAACAATACATTGTCGGGCAGGATGGGATGAGAAAGAGTGCAGAGAAGGAGTCACCTACTCTTGGGAGGGGTAGCGGTAAACTTACTCTTACAGTCACTAAATAATTTAACCCCAAAACAGAGAATCTTCTCCCATCAAAGAACCGTCAAGCCTAACTCTAATCAGTACATTCACGATGTAAAATGCTCACTGCTCACTCCTGGCTCACTTTCTGGCTCCTTTCTGCCAGAAGGCAGCCTCTGGCAACTCTCTTTGGTGGTGTTCTGGGCACCTAGGTAGGCGTCCTTATGCCCAAACACCATTATTTCGCTGGTCTGTTCTGGAAACCGGCCGCCCTTTGGCCTCTCTCTGCCAGTTTACCCGCACCGACAAGTTATAGTGAGAATTTTCCAGACAGGACGCCTGGGCTTTGAAGGACTTCGTGGCTCAAGTCCTTCCTGGGCCTGGCAGGGGAGGAGTGGGATTGCAGCTAGCCTGGGTCCCGGGGCTGCTCGTCCCCCACCCTCCCCCGCGCGCCTCTGCACAACTGTCCCCTCTGATCCGGGTCTGCGCCCTGGGAGTGGCTTGCGGCTGGGGAGGGTGACCCAAAGCGAGTGTCGCTTCTCTTAGCAATCCCACTATCATACAGGGCCAAGCGCGGGAGCTGGAGGGCCAAGGTGGGCACTGGGTCGCCACCTCGAGCGCGCCTACGGTGGCCCGCGGCGAGGGAGCAAGAGTGGCCGAGCGTCTGGGGCACAGCGGGAGTCCGAGCCCAGCGCCCCCCACACCAGCCTGAGGGCGCAGCCCGCCGCGCGGTGGGAGGTGGCGAGGCGGGGACCGGGCGGGGACCAGGCGGGGGCGGAGCGGAGCTTCCCGCTTCCTTGTCGCCTTCATCCTCCCCCTCGGAGCCGCCGCCTCGGCCGGGCTGAGCAGCGGGAGTCCGAGGCGCCCGCTCGCAGCCGCGGGATGGGGAGCTAGCGCCACGGCGGCCGCAGTGGCCGCAGCGCAGCCAGCCGCCGCCCCCGGGCCTGTCCCGCCGGGTGATCCGGGAGCCCCAAGCACGGCCCCGAGCCAGGCCCGCGGGCGGCGGCGGCGGAGGAGCTGGGCAGGTGTGTGCGGCTGGAAGATGGCGCCCTCGGGCCCGGGCGGTGTGCGGCGGCGGTGCCGGCGGGTGCTCTACTGGATCCCGGTGGTTTTCATCAGCCTGCTGCTGGGCTGGTCCTACTACGCCTACGCTATCCAGCTGTGCATAGGTGAGTGGGTGGCCGAGTCCCGAGCCCCGCACGCAGCCCCCCGCCGTCCCGGGACTGCTGCCCCGGTCTGCGATTGCTTCCACTTTGCGCATCCTCTAGGCTCCCCGGTACCCTGGGCGCTGCCCACTACCAGCATGTCTGCGGTGTCCGTCCCCCAGTCCCTCCACACACACACAGCGGAGGCCAGCCAGCTCCTCAAAACCTCTTTCACTCTGTTACTGCCCTGGCCTCCTCTGGCAGCTTTTGGGTTATCAGGTGACCTCCACCCCAGGACGCACGGCCCTAGGCACCCCTACTGTCTTTCACTCACCACCGCCACCCCAGCCACACCCCCTCGATGGGCAGGACAGGGAGCTCAGTGGTCTCCGCTTGTCTGCAGCCTCAGGCAAGAGCTGAGGCCAGGGAAGCTGCTCTGGAGGCCAGAGGGTTGGTAGCTGGGCCAAGAATCAGAGCTGCGCCAGACCCACGCGGGGAAATGTTGGCCTTAGGCTCAGGTGGCAGAGCCAGAATCTTTTCTGATGGCCGCAGCTCTACTTTTAAAAAAAAATCGTGACATTCATTGCTCACTAGCGTTGTAACTGCCTTTTTGCTTTGAGGGTTGATAATTAGTTTCTAAGTCAAAAAAAAAAAAGGCCTAAGGGGTGAGCTGCTAGAAAGTATTTTTTGGAAGACGTATGAGAACTATAGTACTGTAATTTAGATGCTGGAGTAATAGACAGTGGAGCTGAGAACCCATCATCTGAGGTTCTTACAGAGAGCCAAGTGGCCCCTTTCCAAGATAAGGCTTCTGAATTGGTGGGTGGGACAGTCTCAACGCTGAAGATTTTTTTTTTAGGTTGAGTATGCATAAGCAGGGAATACAGTTATGATGCCTAATGTAAACTTTCTGCCTTCGGAGGTTTCGCCTAAAAGCCTGGTATATGTTATCAGCAAGACACGGTCCAACAGGGGATGACTTTTCTGCCAGTGTCTTGTGAATGTTTTGTCTGCTGTTTACCTACTGAACTTACCATACGTTTGCTCTAACCCAGTACGAGCCTGGAGTGGAACCAGAAGGAGTAATTAGTGCCCTGTTGAACAGCTGCAAAGCTCAACCCCTGAAATGCAAAACCTGGTCTGAAGCCATCTTATCTCCAAATGTTGGTCCTATGAGAAATAGTGTCAAAATGACACACCAGAATGATTTTGACATAATTTTCAAGATAATTGAGACTATCTTTCCATTTCATATCGTCTTTAAATTTGCTGTTATTACTCTCTTGGCTGGGTTCAGAAACAACCTTTTAAGCCCAAATTGAGTGAATTTGTGATGATTTAAAAAAAAGATTGGTAAATATGACACAATGCATATAAAATGTAATAATATTTAATCATGTAGAATGAATAGGATGAATGTTAAAGATATTATAGTTTCTGTATTAACAGTTAATCTGTAAATCATTTGTTTATTGATATTCAGTGTGTATGATACATAGCTATTGGGAAACTTTGTTGTATTTTATTCCTCCACTTCTGAGAAAGAGTTAACAGTGTCATTTGTAGCAAAAGAAGAATGCCCTAGAAGGCCTTCACTATCAGAACAGCCCGGTTGTTGGTTATTATCACATTAAGCTAAGAAGCTTAGCCTGCCAAAAAGGCTCATTCATGTCCATGAAGAGGACGCGTTTGTAGGCACAGTTTTTCTTCCAGCACAAATACCAGATGCTCTGTAGGTAGTTTTATTTTATAGAGTAAGATGGTTGATCCGTGATGATCAAGGAACCTATTATATCTGAACCGTGTTGTTGGTATGTGTGTGAGTTCGCCCACCCATTCTGGTGGGTATGGAAGCCAGAAGTCAATATTTCCTCAATTAGCCTCCAATTTCCCTTTTGAGACAGGGTTTCCCACTGAAACTGTAGCTCACCTTTCCCACTAGACTGGCAGGTTAGCAAGCCCCCAGGGTCGACCTGTCTTTCCCTCCCAGAACTGGGCTTGCAGGCATGCACCCATCCAGCTTTTCTGTGGGTTTGAGGGGCTCTGAACTTGGGAGCTTTGGCTTGTACAGCAAGCACTTTACCCACTGAGACAGCTCCCCAGCCCTTCGGCCATCTTTTTTATTTTTTTCATAATTTCAAGATACAGTATCTATCTGTGAAATCTGTGTCGCCCTTTTTGTAAGTGACAATTTGACTGAGAAGGACAATTTCCTAGGTGTCAGTGGCCTCTTATTGATATTTACCTGATAAAGTACTCCTTGTCGCTGCCCACCTGTGGTGACCTAAATGCTTCCCAAGGCAAAAAGCCATCAGAAAAAAATGGACTAACACAAAGAAGTAAATAGTGCAGAAGTATACCCCCCAAGGTGCTAGAAAATAGTTCTAAATATTTCGATTGTTGCAAAAACAAAGGACAGGGATGTTGTAAAAAGTCTAGATCCTAAATGCCAGAAGGCAAAATTCAAGACGAAGGTGAGTTTTACATTGGAGACCATGGCAGTTGGTCAGTGGTCGCCTCCAAAAGCCTCGCATTGCCTAACCATGGTTGGCTGAGAAGTTGAGGTTAACTGTAGGCACAGGGAGAGATGGTGACCAATGTGGCCCATACGCCCAGCCAGCTATTACTGCTTTTCACAAAGAAAAACGAGAGTGCCGACTCTCACATTAATCACAAGTCCTCCTGCCCTGCCCTCTGGGGATTTTTTTTTTCCCCTCTTGGAAATTGTTATTTACAGTCATTTTCCTCAAATGTCTCCTATGAATATTGGCCAGGGTTGGGACTAAAGGATGGGGTCAGGGACTGAAAAGTGAAGTAGCAAACAAGCGGGGTGATTTACCCTGGTCCTCCTTCCACATCTGCTTTCAGCCGGTGATGACCCTGAATATAAAGTACTCTATGCCCTTTGCTGAATGAACTGCCATTTAGGAGCAGTGCTTATCCTGGTATCCTTGGAAACTAGCGATAATGATTCTCATTGCAATTACTTTCTATATTTAACAGTGGGCATGGATGTGGCTCTCTAGGCACTTCCTCAGTGAGCATAATTTTTGCTTGGTGTTTGTATTTTACAAAAATAACTCATCGCTTTTGGAATGTGTGCATATCAGAAATACATGGGATAGAGGTATTGTGTAAGCATCAAGTATTTCGGGTAAAAATGTTTCAGTTCTGCCAATAAAAGGTCAATAGGGCTTTTACACAGGTAATCATTTGGAATATGTTTATATGGCTTGCTAGTTAATAAAACCCTTTCATCATATTCCGCCCTCCATGCTTTCCTTTCTATCACTTTCCTGCCCCTCATCAATCTGCTTCTCTCTTCCTCCTGCCCTTAACCCCATCCCTGGTTTCTGCTTTGTCTTATCCATCCTCAATCCACTCAAATATTAACCATCTTGTTTTTGATATACTAATACACATTCTAAGGGTTAAGAAGTATAAGGGATGGTACTGAGGATGCAGAACTAGAGGAGTAAGCATGTCTGCAGCCTTAGATTTGTTCTGAGGATATGCTGGACCCGGTGTATGTTTTACAGAATCACCATGACAATTAGTATGGAAGCATTGCTTGTTGGAGGAGGCAATTAAACTTTTTCCTCTCGAGTGCTAACATTTCAAATGGATTTGCTTGTTTTTAAACCTTTTGTCTTGTTATAATTCCAAATTTGCTAAAAGCTCCTAAAATGATTATAAGAGATGAACACACACCTTTGTTAAATCGGTTTGGTCTCTTGTTTGTCTTGAACATGTCGCTGCCACGGTTTCACTCTAGGCAAGTGACACTGTTACCAACAGGCCGGGCCTGGACCAGGCTTTGTCTGGTTTTGGGGGCTTTTGAATGAATTGAAAGCCCACACAGATCGCAAAGGCGTGAGCAAATTTTATTCCAAGTGGAGTGTTCTTCAAGACAGCAAGCAGGCAGTATGAATGGAGATGCTGAAGGACCGTGGTTCTTTCCTGGGCTCTTTTCTATGAAGTAAAATGAAAGGAGGCTCTGGTTACAAAGGAGGACAATTTGCATGGTTCTCTATTTCGATTGATTAATTAGGTTAGATAATCATTTTTTTTCTACTGCACATGACCTTCCCATCATGCAACTGACTAAGTTGTATTTCTGCCCCTTTTATGCATAAGCAGAAAATGATAAACAGGATGTATTCTCTAAAGAGAACATAGTCTTGCTTTATTATTTATTTACCCAAAACCAGTTCTGCCTGAATTGGTCCTTCCAATCTTCTACTGGGTCAAAACGGGAGGGTGATTGAACAGAGTCTATCTAAATTGGAGAATTCTTAAGAGGAAGAAAAACTTACTCCATTTTGGGAGGGCGCTATGCATGCAGCTTGATGTTGCGTACACACTGCTAAGTCTCACACCGACAAGCTTGAGGTTCTCACACTGTCCCAGGACAAATGGGGTCCCAGGTTTCTATACTACTTCCTGTGTTTTCCTGGCTATCTACCAATTAGTGTTAGATTTTATTTAAGTCGTTTTAAACAGTCAAGGCAGTCCCCAAATCTTAGAGGTAGTGTAGGCCAACCCTGTCCTCATTGTACAGGGTGAATTGAATGCTGCAGATCATAAAAGTTCTCTGGCCTTCCTGAAGTTCCCAGTGGAGATGTCACCTGTGGATTTTACCAATCTGATCCGATGTCCCAACCTCTCCCCACCAAACTGCTCACCAAACGCCTTATCTCTTTGCAGTTGCCTACCAAGTCTGGAACATTCATGCTGCTGTTTTATGAGTTACCAAAATTCTAAAAGTCACCCTCGGCACAAGGCTTTCAGAGTCTTAGAAGACGTTATAAGAAAAAATGCTCTGTCTTTCCAAGCAGCGTGTTCTCTGTGGCAATTTCTCAGCTCCGCTATTGTAGTGACAAAATAGTCACAGACAATGCTTGAATGGTTAGGTATGTTCTGATAAAACCTTATTAGAAAAGCACAATCGGAAGGCCAGATGCCTGACCTTTCAAGTATGTTAGACGCTAGAATGTTCTGGAGCTGAGGGAGTCACTCAGCTG